CTCCGTGGGAGCTCACAGTCTCTTGCCCCCCAAAACAAGGGAAATGCAAGTTCGAACTACAGTACTGCACGTACGCATACATACGCCAGGGCTTGCTTGAACGCTATCTACAATGTATTTCATTCTCAACATCTAACACTCGGTATGTAGAAAGTAACCCATACCGGACCTCGTTAGCAGCGGGACGAACGGGTCCGCCATGGCCCGCACCGCCTCCCCTCTCCTATTCATCGCCGCCGCCCGTCTGCCGGCTCCCCTTGCCGTCGCCTCCGCCTTCAGCCTCGAGTGCAGCAGCCCCATCGCCAGCGTCACCGCCCCGAGCGCCGCGGGGTCGCCCAGGTCGACCCCCCTCACCCGCGACGACGAAGGTGATGATGCGGCGGAACCCCCCACGGTCGGACGCTGGCGGCCGGCGGCGCGGCCGTCGTGACGGTCACGCCCGGTGTGCTTGGGAGCGCTGGCGCCGTCCAAGACTTGTACCGACTCCCACTCTCGCCGACGCTTCTCGCCGGCGGCAGCGAGGCGGGAGTGCCCCTTCAGGTTACCCTCAGAGGCCATCCACTTTTTTGTTGTTGTTATTTCGGTGGAGGGGAGACGGGAAGGCAAGGAAGTAGGTGAGATTGGGAGGGGAGGAATGTTTTTCCATGACCACGCGAGTGAGGGACGGGGTGGACCTTGGAGGCGGGGGTTGAACTACGGGCCGTTTGTTGAGAATACATACTTGAAGTACATTTTTTTTTTCTTCTTGCGCACTACCCTGCATGGGCTAACGACTGACAAAAAAGTAGTCAGGCCAAAAATGGCCGTATTTAACGCCTTCCAGCGGGAGGGTGGGTGCATTAACCCAAAACAAGGCAAAAAAAACAATAATTATCCCGAACCCGAAACCTGTCCCCTCGCTCCTCAACGATCCATGTCACGTCCCCTCATAATACAAGCAGTATAATAGTGAACCCACACTAAAACCAAGACATTTGGGGAACCACACTAAAACCAAGACACGTGGGGGTTCCACACTAAAACCATTACACTTAGACGTTCTACACTACTCAGACCCAATCTGCAAGCATAACAACTTTTCCCAAAATGGGGTGTTTCAGACCTTAATGTTTGTAGACAAGCACAATTTTTTCTTTTTTTTCATCAGCATCGTCTACGCGCCAGCTTTCCAACGAATCCAACTATAAGGTTTGGATCAACCTCTGAGTACACGAAAGACTTGTCACCCATACCGGACTAGACTTATGGGACAGAGGAAGAATATGCATAGGTGAGGAAATATTCACCAGTTCTAGGCGAGTTGTGGGGGCTCTGATTTCAAAGCGAGGTTGAGGAGGGCTCATCAACACTGACTGCTATTGTATGATTATATACCAAGAATGAGGAGGATTCATCAACACTAACACTGACCGCTGTGATTCCAACGGTTAGGACGTTTAGGACGTTTCATCAGACTGACTCCTGTTATACCAAGCCAAAACATCGAGGCGAAGGATCAAACAAAACAATTGGCGAGCGGGACAATCACACAATTTCGGGTGAAGGAGCCGGGGTCCGGCAGAAATAAAATCTACCCACATACCTGCCGGGCGGAGGACGACGCCCCGCCGCCAGCGGAGCCCCGTTTGGCCTTCTTTCTCGCGGCGGTCGGCCCCTCCGCACCACTGTCGCTGTCGCTGCTGTCTTCGCTGTCTCCCTCTTCCATCTCGTCGTCGTCGTCCTCCTCCGACGTCTGTCTCCAAAGGTCCCCCGAAAAAAAAAGAATATTGACAGACGGCGGAACAACAAGGGGGGGGGCGGCGCACAGCAAGGATGAAATCGAAACAAGCTTGACGAAGCTAGAAAGGAAAAAACAACCAAAATACAGCAGCAGGAGGGTATAATTATTACAGCAGCAGGAGGGTATGTGGTTGAGGACATTTCCTCGCTTCAAAAGTTTTTGCTGTTAAAGCGGGTACGAGTGTTTACAGGTGTATACAGGTGTACCAAGGGCAACGGTGGTGAAGGAGAGAAGCATATGCTCCGGACGCCATGGCCCATGACGTCACTAGAGTAATGACGTCACTAGGGTGACGACGTCACTAGGGTGATGACATCACTAGGGTGGTGATGACGTCACTAGGGTGGTGACGCCACCACCATAGTGACATCACTAGCGTGTTGACGATCATGGATGATGACGTCACTAGAGTAAAGACGTCTCTACTTGGGTGATGACGTCACTAGGGCGATGAGGTCACCTGGGGGAGAAGGAACGGCGCCACGGTCGCGTGAACGTAGAGGAGCATCTCCGACTCCGTCACGCTGGGGTTAGCCGCCAGGCCCATCCCGATCCTTGTGAGGGCCTCGTTAGCCTTTCCCACCGACCTGAAACGAAGACGCCCGAAACCACAAGCATAAGAAGGCCGTGAGCGATCGGTCCAAGAATTGGGTGATAGATGGATGCACGCCGCAGACAACGAAGCGTTTTCATTGGTACAAAGACTTCACAACCAGGCACCCTAATTCTTCCCGCGGGCACTGAGGTCTTCTCGTTGGTCAGCAGGATGTAGAGGTCGATGCTAACAATAAACACACAGACACACACCTTGCGTTCTCGCATCCCTCCAGGAGGGAAAGCACGGGGCCCACCAGGGCGTGCACCGACGATGCCGAAGCCGCGTCCTCCGGCGCTAGCACGGTGAAGGTCGGCCGGAAGAGCATGGTCCTCGCCGCGATCTCGAACGAGTCGTAGGCCTTCTGCCCCTTAGCCTCCTTCATCTTGGACGAGGCAACGTTTGCTCCTTGGGCCTAGAGGGGAGAGTTCCAAGGCGATCATTGTGGATGTAGGGGGGGGACGGGACGGGACGGGACGGAACGGGACGGAACGGGACGGAACGGGAGGGGGCCATTTAATGTATTAGCTTCCTGAAGAGAGAAAATGTCCTTTGGGCTGCCATCGGACGAAACGTTTACGAGAACAAATTCAAACCGTCGTTCAGGCTATGTGCACTGTACAAGGACGTTCTCTACAGAGTTCACATGAAGACCTTTATTCATAGGTGTATTTGGTCCGGCTGGCGTCAGTGCTTTCCCAGCGTAGAGGCTTGGAACACATAATTCTCACAAAGACCAATGTCCAACAAGTTTCCTCTCAACACTCGCTGCAGAGACTTCATCCCATCCCTTCGATTTATCTCCAACGGGCATGTTTTCATTTTTCTGCTGCATATTTCAAAAACGAAGAGCACGGCTTCCCTTTTCATCAGCGATGACGTAATCACTGCTACAACCACGAAAAAGTGAGAGAGCGGCGAAAATGACATGGACCAAAGACGACCATGGCGAACCAGTGCAGCAGATAACGCTCCGGCGCCCCCCCTGCTACTAGCAAAACACGAGCTCCTATGCATAGTTTTCTTTAAAAAATTGTCGCGCGGAACCTGAACGGACAACTTGTTGTTGTGCATGGACCGTAAGCGCTAACCTCCTTAGCAGCAGCCGACTCCCCGAAGAGGTCTTCCATAAGCAGCTCCACCACCTCCGGAATACACGCGTCGAAGGAAGGCTTCACCAGCGAAGACGGCACGGCGGGAACCACTAACGCCGCCGCTGAACTCTCCTCGCCGTCTACATCCATCACCGCGGCGTCTGCTGCGTCGGTGGTGGCACTAGAAGAAGCGGGTTCGGCGGGTTTGGTATTGCGGACGTCTACCGAGGGGGGGTTGGGCGGCTTGTACGAGTCGGCCACGGTCTTGAGGACCGTGTGGAGGGTGAAGGTTCGTACGTGGAGTTGGTAGCCGGTCACCAGGCAGGTCCTCAGCTCCGTGATGACCTTCGGAGTTGTGGGGGGGATAGAGGTAAACGGGGGAGCGAGAGAGAAAGAGACAAGAGAGAAAGTGAGAGAGTAAGAGCACGAAGGGGGAAGGAAAAACGGCAGTAGTACTGACCGACAAGGAAACAAAAGTGGATCAGTCAAGGAAACGACCTAAAGCAACGAGGAACACATATTACAAGGTTTGGATATATGTGGTGCTTAGGCACATCTTCCCGTGGCGGCAGCGAATCTTTTCTCGGGCTGCCTTTTGAGGGGCGCGAATAGGCTCGTTGGTACGTTCCCGCGCATGCCCAAAGCTCGCCAGGCATCTGTGGCACGAGCGCCGGTATCTTATATTGTAGATAACGCCGATGGTTCGGTAAACCACCGAACGGTGGGACACTGACCCCGAAACTGTTACGTGGGCAAACAAAGGATGTCAGTTACGTCCCGCCAAATCGACGAACTGTTGGACCAATATGCAACCAACACCAACGCAAGCATGCACAGACCAGGGGCCGGCCGGCCCGCGAAAACCACCTGCTGCAGGTAGTCCGGGCCCAGGTCTCTCGCCATCTTGGCGAGGGTATCTCTGGCCGTGTCGCGGGCGTTGGAGTCCCTCGACTTGAGGCTCTGGCACACGGTCATCAGCAAGGGCTTGAGCTGCAGCTCGAACGCGTCCGTGGGCAGCCTCCGGATGAGGTTTAGCATGCCCACCGCCACCGGCGCGCGAAGCACCTTCTCCTTGCCCCCGGACTTCCCGCGGACTTCTTTGACGAGGAGGGAGCGGAGAGAGCCCAGCAAGCGATCGTTAACGGCGCGCCACACCGCGTCGCCCCCCCCTGCCACCATCTCCGCCGGTGCCGCCGCGCCGTCTCCGTTCGAGACGACAACTGCGGTGGAAGAAGAGGGTTCGGCGGCGGCGGAAGCGGCGGCAGGCTCGGCGACGACGCCGGGCGGAATCAAAGCGAAGTGGAAACCGTCGAGGACCTGGCACACGGCGCCGATCATGGCCCGCTCCTTCTCGGGGCTGTGGCTGTCCGACTCGCCCTTGCCGCCGGCGACCTGCTGCATGAGCCCGCGCAGCGCCGAGTTGTAGTGCGTCCACGGGAGGTGCCTCGCGATGGCGCCGACCAGCTGCACCGCCTGGCCGACCAGCCCGGCCTCCGACGACTTGGCCGCCTCGTGCAGAGGATGAAGCGCCAACGGGAGGAGAAAGTGGACCAGGGTAGACACGCGGAACGGGCCTCCGGCCGCCCCTGCCGCCGCAGCAGCAGCACCCGCCGCCTGTCCTCTTCCTCCTACCGGTGCTTGCGGTCCCCGACCAGCAAGGCCGGAAGGTTCCACTTCTGCGCCTGCGACGATTGGGCGGCCGGCGGCCGCTTCCGCAGCCGCCGAAGCGGCTTCGAAGTCTTCGATCGCCTTCCTGACCTTCGCGAGAGCTCGCGCCCGCCGGTGCACCTGCATGTGGCAAGCGTTGAGGAAGAAGTCCGACTCGGGATCGTCCGCCCTCGCAAGGGCCCACAGATCGGTCGGCACCACGGCCGCCGCCCCGACCCGCTCTCCTCCTCCGTCACCACCACCGCCCCCGCCGCCGCCGCCGGCCGCCGCTGCCTGGTAGACGGACACGGTCTCCCGCAGCAGCGAGATGTAGCCCTTGCGCACGGCCTCCACGCGGCACGCCATCCCCGCCCTGAGCCCGGGCATCACCACCGTGCGCATCAAGCCTTCCCAGGGGCACCGCACCGTCGCCGTCGCCGTCGTCGTCCCCACCACCGAGGTTGAATCTCGGCACACCGCCGCCGCCGCCGACTCCCGCACGAGTCGCTTGAGCGCCGCCCCCGCCGCTCCCCTGAGAGCCACCTCCTGATCGTGCATGGCGTGGAGGCAGTGCTGTGCGACGGGGGTCGCGGCGAGAGCGCCGCCCAGCGAACCGGCAGCAACAACCTCCTCCCGCTCCCGAACCGGCACCGATTCCGCCGCCCCACCTGCCGCAACGATGTCCGCCCAACCGGTCCCCTCGGACAGAGAGTTGAAGGCCGGCACGACGCGGCCGAAGTCCGGCTCGTCGAGAGCCGCCGCGTCCCGCGCGTTCAGCTCGGCGACGAGGGCGACGGCGGCCACCGCCGCCGCCGCCAGGTCCGGCCGCCCCGCCAACGCCTCCAGGGCGCGCACGAGCTCCCCGCGCGGGGCCGCCGCAGCCATGCCGGACGGCCGCGCGCCCGCTGGTCCCAGCAGGCGGGAGAGCGCTGGCCAGGCCTTGCGGGCGCCGGGGGAGTCTACCCGAAGGGCCAACGCCGCCACCGCCCGGAGGATCGAGATCTTGGCCTCGTCGGACCCCCGGCGGTGGTCGGGCTGGAGGGACGGTATCAGCAGGGCGACGAGCTTCGACATGGACGCGGGGTCCACGGCCCCGCCGCCGCCGCCGCCGCTGCTGAGAGGGGGGTCGGAAGAAGTCGTCATCTCGGCGACCCGGGCGAGAATAGCGAGCCCCTGCTCGGTGTGAGAGTCCAACCCGCGGCCGCTACCGCCGGAGGTGTCGCGTACGCTAAGGCGCGCCGCGAAGTTTGAGATGAGGTGGTTCAGGTGGGGGGCCAGGAGGGAACCGCCGTCGTGCCGCAGCAACCGCTCCACGAAGGTCAGCGCCGCCCCCACGACTGCGGGGCCGGCGACGCGCCCGCTCGCGCTGCCCGCCGAGATGCAGTCCAGAACAGCCGGGATGAGAGCCTCTCCGCCGCCGCCGCCGGTCGACGATGGCGAAAACGTCGGCAGCAGCGCCTCGTTCTCGGACAGTGTCTCGGCGAAGGCGAGCAACGCGGGCTTCCTCGTGGCGCCGATGGTGGAGGCCGGGAGGCGGGCAATTGGGCCGGCGAGGGCGGGCCACAGGGCTCCGCTGTGGGCGGCGAAGTCGAACGTGGTCGAAAACTGGGAGAAGAGCTCCGACAGCGCGCGGAGGCACAGGGTGCGGAGCGCCCCTGGAGAAATCTTCCCTGTTGAAGGATAACGCCTTCCAGCGACAACGGAAGAGGCGGCCGGAGTCCCACCCGCCTCGTCGTCATCGTCGACTTGGTCTTCGTCCACATCCATGTCGCCTGCCTGGTTGTTGCTGCTGCTGTTACCCGCGTCGGCCTTTCGCTGGTCGGCTTCCGACGCGGCGTTCGAGTGCTCCAGCAGGACGAGCACCAGCCCGAGCACCGTCTCGACGTACGGCAGCGCCTTCTGGCCGAGCTGCTTCGCCACCTCCCTCGCCATCTTCAGGAACCCGGCCTGCCGAGACGCCGACACGCCCCCGACGCGCGCCTGGGTTATCCCGGCCGCCCTCTCCAGCACCCGGACCGCCCTCACCACATCCTCCGCCTCCTCACACTCCGCCGCCGGCCCTTCGTCTCTCTCCTGCTCCTCCGACGACGATGACGTCATGATCGCAGGGGTGAGAAAAGGGCGGACCATCAGCGCGAACAGCTCCGAGAGCTCCTCTGAGGCCAGGCCGGAGAGGAACGCCAGCACCGCCGCGCGCCGAGCCGCGGGGCCCCCGTGCCCCCCGGCGCGGCCGCGAGACCCCGACGCGGCAAGGCGGCCGTAGACGAGACGGATCACCACCGGGATGAGGCGCGGCCGGTGGAGGGGGTCTATTGTCGCGGGATCGGCAGCGGCCGCCAAGCCCGAGGATATGATGGACACGTCACCGCTGCCGACGTTGCTGGTAACCTCGCTTTCGAGCGAGAACGTGACCAGCTCGTCGCGGAATGTCTCGTCGTTCATCAGGCCCTCGAGGTTCGCCTGTGACAAAGCAGGGGGGTATGGTGCAGAGCGCCAGAGAGAGGGAATGGTCCAATTGAAAAAATATACAACTATTCTTGCGGAACGCGATTGAGCTGAAAATGTTTGTCGTATTAGCATTCAAGAGGCGGTTGGAGGTACTGACCTCCACAATCATGCGTGATAACAACGACAACGACGACCAATAAATGCTACGAACCACAATAGAAGCAGCCTACAAAGAGCTGATTTTTTGCCCGGTATCTGCAAAGGCGCTTGCTTGCCTTGTACGGCACCAGGTAAGGAGGCCTGTACGCCAGCATGCACCGCAGCGCCAGCCCGGCGACCTTGTCGTCCGGCATGACCATCAGCGCCCGGTACACCCCGAACAGCACCCGCTGCTTGTACAGGCTCTTCGGTCCCGGCGCGGCGGCAAAAACACCGAGCAGGGCCACCAGTCGCCCCCGCACGCTGCGGCGATCGGCCGTCCTCCCCTCCCCTTCCCCGCCTTCACCCTTACCCCCCCTTCGCACCACGGGGCCCCAACCGCCGGGCCCCTCGCTGGCGCGCTCCGACGGCGTCAGGTGCGAAGAAACGCCTACGGAGCGGGTTTCCGGGTCATCGGGGAAGGCGGCGTCCCCGAGGTACTGGTACTGCATGAAGCCCAGGAAGAGGGGGACGACGGTGCGGCTGTGCTGCTGGAGGAGCTCGGGGCACTGCGAAAGGACTCCCCACACCTGAGAAGGACGTCGGTTGGCGGGGGTTGTGCTCATGTTTTTGCATGCCGGGTGTGGGGAGGGGGTGCAGAAGTGACGACTGGTACCGGAAAATGGTCACGCGTTCTAGTTAAAGTAACAGGCGATCGGCAGCAACTAGTCACACAACGGCAACACGTTTGGAGCACTCTCACTCCATGATCACGCCTGAAAAAAAAAAAAGTACGATACTCCCTGACAAACACTGCTGCGAACACTTACTCGGCAGCAGAAAAAAATCTGGACAAACACGAAAAAACACGTCGAGAGAAGTCAAACCCAGACTGCGTACAAACGATTCCGCGATCACTTCTCGGCAGCAGAAACAAAAAACTTAAAACCACAACAACAACAAAAACCGTCGAAAAAGGAGGAAGGGAGATGGTATACTTGGCACCGGGCCAAATCACCTGCGCGAACGCCGAATCGGCGTCGGTGCTCGCCCACAGCGGCACCTCGCCCGACTCCGGCTGGAGCCCGGTCCGGACGGTCTCGTCCCGGAACACGCCCTGCAAGGCCACGGGTAGGTCCATCTCCTTCGCGGGGCCCCCGTCAAGCGCCGCCGCGTGGGGCAGGAGCCTGGGGACCCAGGGCTTCGGCGGGGGTATCGCCGCTCGCAGCCCGGAGGAGGGTCTCGGCTGCTGCGGATGATGATTTACCGGCTCGACGTCGTTGCTACCCTTGTCGTCGCCGTTTTCAGGGCCTTTGGTCGGCCCCGCAGCAGCTCCGATTTCAGCAGCGGTCTCTTTGGACTGATCCCCTCCGGCGGCTGCTGCATCATCATGTTGTTGTTGCTGCTGATTTTCCTCGAGCCCGGTCACAAGAGCAGCCCGCTGCTGCTCCTCAAGCACGGCCGCCACCTCCTGGCGCGTGGCCGGCGGCGGCATAACCTTGCGGAGGGTCGCTCGCACCGGCTCCCACACCACCTCGCGTTGGTGGGACCTCCGGTAAAGCGCCGAGACTATCGCCACGGCCCGCGGCCACACGGCCGAGAACTTGACCCGCAGCAGGCCGAGGGCGTGGGTGGCCAGCAGGCGGGCGTACGGGCGGGGCAGCCGGCCCGAACGCCCCAGCACCTCCAGCTGACCCAGCCTCCACATGAGGTCCCGCTCTGCGGCAACGGAGACCGGAAGCTCCTCTACCGCCTCCGCCAGCTCGAGCAAGCTGGACTCGCCCTGGCTCTGCCGCGGCAAGCCTACTCCTCCTGCTGCTGCGGGTTCTTCCGTCAGGGGAAGCGGGTCGTACCGTGCCAGTACCCGTACCGTGGAAAGGCGGAGAAGGCGGCTGTCAGAGGCCAGGTTGGGCTCGAGGAGGGCGATGACCGGTAAGGAGGCATCCGCCGAGAGGCAGGGGGGGGGGGTGCCGTCGCCACCCGCGGCGGCGCGGATGGCGCGGAGAAGAAGAGCCACCGCGCGGAGGGTTGAGATGGAGGAAGGGCAGGCGCTCAGCCACTCCATGGCCCTGGTGGTTTTTGTTACGGTGCACAGGCGTGTGGGGGGTGGGGGTGTTTTGTTACGGTGCACAGACGTGTGGAGGGTGGGGTGCAGGTGGGTGAGAGACAAAGACGGGGATCGAGGATTAGGACCCCGAGACGTCACCGCTGTCTCGCGGCACTTCAGGTTTCTGGTACGGTATCGTCCAGCATCCTGTCTCCTTACACCGCTATTATCGTTTCCTTCCGAAACCTGCACTACAGTAGTATAATAGCGTCCGTGCCTCAAGGAGGGACAAACGCACGCACAGAACCGCACCCACAAGGATGCTTCGACAAGCGAATGACCACGCGCATGCAGGCCGTGTCAACACCATTTTCCCCCAACCACACCAAAACACTCCGTGCCGATAAATCCACCCAGCTGTAGCTCTGTTGCACATTTTACACCAAGGAGTACCCTACTAGCGCTCCGATAATCCTATATCCCACCTTCCATGCCACACCACCAGCCTCTCAAGCGTCTCCTTCCGCGCCACCCCCTCGTCCCCCCCCGGCAACAAGCAGCACAGGCCCACTCCAGCCTCCAGGGCGTAAGCCCGCAGCACCTTGCCCTCGTCGCCACGCCCCTCTCCGCCGGCCTGATCGCCCCCGCCGCCGCCGCCGCCGCCGCCTCCATCATTGCCACCACCGCTTGATCCCTCGACAGTCGTACCGGCAGCGGAGGCGGCGGCCGCGCCACCGCCGCTCTTCCCCTCGCCGCGCTTACGGCGCTGGCGGCCGCTACCACTGCCGGGATCTGCCGCCGGCGTACCTGTACCCTGGGCAACTGCAGAGGGCGTTGGGTTTTCCGAACCGGCTTCGGTGCCGTTGAGTGCAGCCGAGCACGCGGCCAAGAGCGCCTCGATCGCGAGGAGCGGCGGTTCGGCCGCCTCCCGCCTGGCGCTTGCGGTCGCCGCGAAGCTTCCCACGAGGACGGGGAGGCAGCGGAGGGCGGCCAGGGCACGCGAGGCTTCCGCGGGGAGAACACCGTGTGCCGATGGCGAGCTGCTGCTGCTGTCGTCGACCGTGCGGGGGGATATAGCGGAGGCGGTATTGTTCAAGGCCGTGTGAGGTTGTGTGGAGGAGGCGTGTACAGGGGCACCGACAATCGGCATCGGGACACCGATGTGTCGCCGTTTAAAAAGGTAGATTGTGCACCGCGCACAGCAGCAAGGGGTGTCCGCATGAAAGCGGTATGAGTATCCGCAAAAATAAACTGTACTCGGAGAAGGCGTAAAGATGCAAATAACTTTACACGCAAATGATCCACCTGTAGTGCTGCTCACGAAAAAAACAAAATGTGTGGTACGTACCTGGAATGAGAGCCTTTCAATGACGTCGTTGCGAGCTCCACGCTGGCGCAGCAGACATCCACTAGCTATGACACGAGCAACACGGAGGAGGGCGGGGGGGAGAGGGGGGTTGCAGGCTTCGGCACGTGGCACCGAGAGCACCAAGTAGCAAGAACGAAATGTGGGACCAAAATAAATTGGCTGAACTTGAAGGGGTTGCAAGTGCAAACCTGGGCGTACAGCACAGAGAGCAAAAACACATACAGAGGACAGAACGGAACTACTTTAACGCTTAACGCACGGGGTAAGATCCAAGTCTGGCACAAAAAGTTGGGTGCACCACAAACACGGCAAGGTTAGCAAGCCTATTTACCACGCATCCCTTCGACCCTCGACCAGAGCTCTACTCTGAGGTCTCCGCACACCACTCGCTGGGAGAGACACACTTCGTGCCACCAAACACACCTGTTGTCCCTCAGCAACCCCCATGGGCAAACACCCAGGGCCTTCCGCCCCAGCCACGGACGCCAGCGCTCCCACGCCCCCCTCGTCCTCTTCCTCCTCCTCCTCCACCTCGCTTTCGTCGTCATCACGGCCGACTTCCGCGCGTCTCCTTGCCCCGATGCCTCTGACCTTGTCTCCTGCAAACACCAGCCCGACCCCAGTGCCGTGAATCACTCGCACCAGCACCTCGAGGGCGACCCCCGCCTGCCCGGACAGAGGCCCCGAACACGCCTCCAGGAGGGGGCGGAGGGCGACCGCGCGGGTAACGCGCATGGGCGGGGGCTTGTTCTCCGTGCGCTCGGCACCGACTCCGCCGAGAAGAGACCGCGCCAGCGCCAGCGCCGGGTGGGTGTCTACGGCTACCAGAGACTCTACCGCCGCTGTGGTGCCGTCGTCTGCCCTACGCTCCCCGCGTACGGCGACTGGGGGGGCGGCCGCCGCCGCCGCCGCCGCCGCCCGGATCACCCTCGGCATCACCTTGACGAGGCGCTGCTGCTTGTGCAGGCCGCACAGGGAGACGGCCAGGAGCTCGACCACGGCCCTCCTGCACCCGGGGGAGGTCACCGGCTGCCAGAAGATCTCCGGAGACGTCAGCTCCGCCAGGGCCTCGGCGAGCAGCGCCGCCTGCTTCACGCCGATGGCCTCCTCTCGCAGGAGGATGCCGCCCATGTGGCCCACCGCCTGGGAGAGGAGGTCTGCCGTGCGGCGGACGGCGGCGCACTCCGCGCTCTCTTCCTGGTCGCCCCTGTCGCCGGTAGGCGCGGTCTCTTCCTGGTCGCCCCTGTCGCCGGTAGGCGCGGGGGGGGGCGGCAGCGAGGCCCGATGCCGCGCCGTGGCGGTGCCAAGGCCGTAGTGCAGCTCCAGCCACAGCTCCGCGCTGTGGGGGGAGCGGACGTGCTCGACGAGGAGGGCGAGGACGGCGCTTGCCAGCTCGAAACACCAACCCCTTTCCAGCTCCTTTCGCCGACTGAGGTTGTCCTCCTCTCCCGCCCGTTCCCCTGGAGCCACGTTTGCGTCCGATAGCTTCGGGGGCAGAAGAGAGTCCAGCAGGACTCTTAGCAATACGGGAGCCTGGGCGCAACGACAAAGAACAACAACAAATAAGGCCGCAAAATAAAATATCAGCATGCCTGTATTTGTTGTTTAGCGAAACTATTTTTCCTCATAACGCGTCCATCCTCCTCCTTGCTTCTGTGCGTACTCCCACCCACCCTTACCTGAGAATGTGTTCGTCCGTGTACCCCCTTCGCAGAGAAGAACAGAAGCTGGCTGCACCCGTCCAGTGTGTCCGCCCTCAGCCTCCTCGCCCCCGCCTCCGCGCCGCCCGCAGCAGCCTCGACGTTCCCAGCCGCGAGAGCCCCGACCAGCTGCTTCGCGTGCCGCCGCATGGCCTTCGGCTTCAGTCGCCGCACCGCGGGCGCCAGCGTCTGCGCCGCCATCTTCCTCGCGAAGTCCCTCTTGTGCCCCAGGAGCGGGGCGTAGAGCGCCCTCACGGCAGCCATGTCCTTCGACAGGGGGCGGGCCACGAACTTGAGGAGGAAGCCGAGGCAGCGGAGGACCCGGCCGCAGATCTCGGGGGAGACGTCGGGGGACGCTATGAGCCCGATGAGAGCGGTGGACACCCGCGGGAAGTGCGGGAAGAAGGAGCTTTGGAGGTCGCGTGCGAGGACCGATAGCAGCTGGAGGGTCTCCTCTCCGGCCTGAGTTAGCGGAGGAAGAGCGGTAGGGCAGGGAGGCGTGATGTTTTTTTTTATGTACCAGATACTTATCAAGGCAATGTAGAATCTATACCGGTTGGGAGCTGGGACGGAACCAAAAATAGTTGCTATCGTGGTCGCGGCGAGGAGGGAAGAGGGGGAGGCACACGAGGCGCGGTTAGTTGGCTTGGGATGCCAATGACTAGACAGAATACCAGGGAGCAAGTTAAGCAACGAACGGCTTCAACCCAAGCCGTGGAAGCAACAACAACAACGCATTTTCAGTGGTTTAAAGGTCTTTCAAGCGTCATTGGAATTAAAAGTTTATATAAAAAAGCAGTTAGCAGCGCCCCGGTGAGGCGTACACTCTGTACCACAGCACATCAAGTGCGACGCATGACGTGCAGCATTGTACCACACGCGAAGTAACCGTCCTCGCACGTGCGTGGTTTGTAAATACAAGACCTGCAATCCGGGCACTTTCAAACACGGCATCGCTGCAGCTGTACCGAAGCCCGACTCTGGTGAATAACAGGAACTTTGCGGCATGCCTACAAGAAGTGGTCCTCGACCGGCACCCCACCGCCCGTGAAAGGACGTGCTATACGCTGTATCTGCACCTGTCCGGCGAATCTGATGTGCCACCAGCCAAGGCAACCCTAGCAGAAGCTACCACACCCCTTGACCGGTTTTCAAATCTCGAATGCTCTGCAGCAACAACACTGAGGGTGCCGGGCGTGGCAGCTTTGGATTTGTCTCGTCGTCGAGAGCTCTCCAAAAATGTATACATACCATTTGCTGTTGGCATCCTCTTCGTCGTGGAATATCATAGTCGAGCTTTGACCATCGGTACTAAAGGGGGTGTTGGTACAAGGGGGTGTTTTATCTTAAGATATGCATCAAGTATCTACACATGTACACCCTGCGGAAAGCGGGTGTTATGGGAAATGGCCTTTGCATGAATACGCAAAAAGCGCCGAAGCAGCGGGGTGGTTTTGCCCTCACCTGAGTCACCACCACAGGGTCCTCCAGCAAGGCCAGCAGCATGTCAACCACAGCCGGGGCATGGTGCAGGAGCTCCGGCAGAGATTGGACCAAAGGCCAGACCTGTCGCACGGCAGGCAACAAGGGAGGTTGTTCGTGGCTTGAAGAGGACAAACTTGAGAGCACGCGAGAGACTCAACTGCTGCGCGTTGACTCTGAGAAGACAAGCTCTTGCGTGAGAGGATGGTGCAGACAAGCAACGTGCTGGGTCGGACTCCAGACATGCACGTTGCCTCTCTCTCCGCTACGCAGCGGTTGTACGGCTTGGTGTCGCAGCGGCCGCAACGACAACGAAGGGGGATCGCATGGAACGACAAACTGGTAGAAGCTGTATATTGCAGCAGCAGCAACAGCACCAGCAACAGCACCAGCAACAGCACCAGCAGCAAACAACAGCAGCAACAACAACAACACTGAACAGCTGCCACCGGGCCTCTTTGCCATACACCACATGCATGCATGCAACCCACCTTGTAGTAGAAGCGCTTGAACGGCGGCGTGACGTTCAGCTCCTTGCTTCGGTCAAGCTCCTGCTGGAAGAAGGAGCCGCCCTCCACCTCCGGGTTCTGCGCCTTGTCGGCGTCGAGGAACCCCTCGGCGCGGACCTTGTGGGCCACGTCCACATCGATGCGCTTGGCTCTCGCCTGCTTGCCCTGAAACTTGAATCGATTGCTGCCACCCGTGGTGTTGAGGCCTTTTTGGCCAATTCCATATCTGTTGTCCATGCTCCTCAGGACACCCCCCGGCGATACCCGGCTATGTCCTAGGCGAGAACAACGTCCCGTGCAGAGGCACAGATCGCTGGTGCTCTGTCAGAGCGGACAAGCGCACAGCAGCTGTGGAGTTGGTTGCCTGAACCATCCACGCAACACGACACCCGGAAAAACGCGGCGCAATTTTTCGGAGTTGCACGTACTTGGCATGTCATCTGTTGTACAGTCCCGTCGTCGCACGTACGTCCGCTCCTCTGTCCCTCCTTCTACGCTGCCCAGCGCACCGCGGCGGGAAGATCTGCTGCTAACCGCGCGGCTGCGGTCGTGTATGAAGATGAAGCGCTGCCGATGCGTTGCCATCGAGACCTTGGTGATGCTTTGCTTCGCCGCGGTTGCTCTTGCCTTCCAAACAGCGGTCCGACTCAGCGCCGGAGACTCGACCGCTCCTCCTGCGGCTTGCTCAGACGGCAGGTTGACTGCATCAACTAGAGCACTCATCCCCAACTCATATAGGCCCGCGCGCTGGTGCTGTACTCGTGTCGCCAGTAGAGATGGCGGTAATAAGAACAGCAGAGTGGTCATGATGGGGAGATCAAACCGCCTGAAGACCGTGATTGCCAGGCAACGCAACCTTGAGAAGAGCACCGCGCCGGTCATCCTGTCCGAGAAGGCAAAACGAAAGGCCAAGCGCGAGAGGCGCGCTTACTTCCGAGAGAGGTACGCGTGCTCGGGCCGTCGCCTGATAAAGCTGCAGCAGGAGGACCCCGACTCGTTGTACATTGGATTTGTTGGGACGAATGGTGCTGGACGAGCTCAGGCGCTCGGGGCGGTGGAAGCCTACCTCAAACGGGCGACCGAGTTCAAGGTATAGTGTACAGGAGCAGTTGAACGCATAACCGCCATCAAGCACTGTCTGTCCTACAGCGCATGTCGTCTGTCCTACTGCATCTCGTTTTTTATCATGATGTCGTCAACAAGGTAAACGGAGCGATAACAGTGACTCGCGACAGAGTTCAAGGTACAGCAGTTGGGCCCGTAAGCACCAAGGCCCCCTAAGGCGGTGTTTGTTTGTCTTACAGCATTCCTAGGCATATATATCATGGTGTGTGATCAACCAGATTGCCTATATTTGGTAGTGACTTGCGAATAGACTTGCGAATAGCCAACGGTTACACTTGCGCATGTGGCTGAAAAAGAGAGCGTACATCAACATGATCGATATATCGCTTGATAGACTTGAACTTTGTGTGACAACCAGCTCTTCTCCTGTAGCGTGTTGTGCGTAGTTGATGCCGGCTCTCTCCTTGTATGTTCTGCTAGGATATTCTACATAGCTTGACAAAGATATAGATGTGTGTGGTTTAGCATTCCATATACGATGTGTGTCAACCCTCCATTGTTGCGATGAGTTAAGACAAGTAGACCTTCAATACGAAAGAATGCTAAACGCCTAAAATTGATCACGTTGCGCCTGTACTCCGCGTAACAGGTCGCGAAGCATCACAAGGGCAACGCGAAAATAAAGCTTGTGGACGCGGGAAACATGTGTTTGTCGGAGATGAAGGGCAAGGGCGAGCGAAAGTTGAGCCTTCTACGGCACTGCGACCTCCTCGTACACGTGGTACGGTGCTTCGATCTCTTCGAGCCGAAGCCGTTCAAACCCTGGAGGGGGGCAGGGAGGGAGGAGGAAGACCGACCGGGTGACGAGGTTGACGAGGCACCGGCAACACAACTGCTGTCGAATCTGGGAGGGGGGGTTAAACAGGGGGGCGGGGATGGTGAGGAAGTAGAGGAAGAGATCGACTGGCCGCTTTCCCCAACGCCGCTGGAGGACATCAAGGAAACGAGGGCTGAAATGGCCTACGCCGACCTTCAGTTCATCGAGGAGAGGCACAAGTGAGTCGGAAAACCCTCGCTGCCATGCCACTGACACAAAAATAGAGCGCGGTAGAGTACGTGCAGTCCTTGTATTTGCAGGAATGGCGTGCAGTTGGCTCGACGGAATTGACACCGTGTTCGATCCGGACGTTTTTGTATCGGGTTTCGGTTGGGGATGCGTACAAACTACCCTCGTGCAACCGGTGGGTTATCCTGGGGGGGGGGTGGAGCAGAACGCGGCAAATATACATTTTCCGCAGCCACTCTGGCGACACATCCGTGCAAGAATTGCGTGTGGCTTCAACATACTCGCTCAAGCAAGGCTCGCTTCTTTCGTAACCTCTCGTTCTTCTGCTGCCCCCCGCCACCACCTCGCGTCATGCGTACGAAGAACGAATCACACCAAGTGGTTCTGGCGGAACCGGAACCGCGCCTTGAACGAAAAGGCCGCCATCGCGTTGGTGACACCGCTGCTGGAAGACGCCTACGCCAGTGGTGGCGTGCTGGAGCCCGTTGGAACCGGGTTCCGAAACAGCTGCTTACGCGACGAACCGGGAGAGAACGGCACTACGCTCTACAGGAGCAAGCGGAGGGCGGCGATTGAGGTATGAGCGAGGACTATCTTGCCCCGTTTGACAGTCGAAACAGGGACGAGGCCCTGCTCGCGTGGCCGGTAACCAAACGAGTCAGCCTAGCTGATGAAAGAATGTTCCAAGGGTGTGTCCGGTGCGGTAAGGGTACGCTCGGTAGGGTATCGGTAGGGTATGGAGGGCTGTACCGAGGCGTACCGGGATTTTCGGTAGGTATGGAGAGCTGTACCGAGGCGTACCGGGATTTTCGGTAGGTACGGAGGGCTGTACCGAGGCGTACCGGGCATTTTCGGTAGGTACGGAGGGCTGTACCAAGGCGCCGCGATTTTCGGTAGGTATGGAGGGCGATACCGAAGGGTACCGAGACGCTCGGTAGGGTATATACCGGCGGAAATACCCTTGTAATTTCTGCTAGTTAGATAGCCGTCTGGACTTCTTAGCCTGTTGTTGACAACGAGCCCGACACTTGGCGGACTGTCAGCTCCATCATGGACGTACCCCGCAGGCTACGTATGGGCAACTTACGACTCGCTTCGCATCGCCATGACGCCTATTCCCACAACTTCTCAAGCGTGCACGGCCGTCGTTCCCCACTTCGCATCACGGCGCGACCGCTGCTTACCGCACTGATGCAGGAAATTGGGTTCCTGACCCCCAAACCCGTTGTGTACGTCGCCAACGTGCCGTCGGAAGCGGCGCCGTCTAGCGATGAGGATGACGATGCCAACGACGACGCCGAACCGAAAGAGGCATCCGAATCAGGGGAAGCCGTCAGGAAAGTGGCCCTCGCACACGCGGACAAGGTGGTCAGTCTCAAACGCGACTACGGCGCGCCCGTCGTTGTGGGGTGCCTGAGAAATCCAGAAGGACAGAATGCTCTCGGAGCGGCGGTGAGATGCTTGGGCTGGCTGTGATATCGTGGGTGCTTGCTGTGTTTTGTGTATTTTTTTGTGAAACTGTCGGAATTCTTCGGTCTTACTCAAACTACCGTTGTTTTTGCCGCATTCTGTGAGTTGGCGGAGGCCCTGAGGCACGTGTACAGTCGATGCAGAGTAGAGCATAGCTCGAAACACATGCGTGTAGACCAGCCAGCATGCTGATTGTATACGTTCGAACGTCCCTCTACCAGGAACAACCCCCTGAGGCATCCATTGGAGGCATTCCTATGCTATTCCATCAATACTGTAGGCACAGCAAACTCTACGAATATCACCGCCGCGAGGAAACGTGCTAGTTGTTAGTTTCCAATGCAAAGTAATCAGACTTACGGACAATTACGATCACCGATTGCTTTGCCGAGGCACTTGTTGCTGTAGTTAGACTATCTAACTCTTCAAACAAATTACCGTTTGTCGTTTCTCCTTGTTGTTTGCTTGCCCACATCTCTACCGGAATACGAACGTCGGCGTTCCGTGCGCAGGTGTTCAAAGCCATCCCTCGGGATTTCCTGAGCCGCGATCCCAAGCTCAGGAAGAGCGCAAACAGTCCACGAAGAAAAACGCAACAGCGGACTCAACAGCGGCGGCGGCCGGGTGAAACCAAGGCACCTAGAACAGGAGCGGTACCTGCGTAGGGAGGGGTTATGTACTATCCACTGAGAGAATTATGGCCTCGTGATAGCTTTGATTCCCTGTGCACGAAAGACGACGTTTAGAGAACATGGCCTCGTGAACCTCCCGTGGTGTTTAGTAAAAAGCCCTCAACTTTGAGAGGAGGCGAGGGAGGGAGGCCCGCCCTCCGAACGTTAGATTAATGGGCATGGACAGTGGACACATGAAGAGACAACTCTTCAGAAATATTGAAACCGCTCAACGTCCGCCAAAGCCCGTGCATAGAGCTCGAGCTTAGAAATATGTATTCAAGCTTAGGAGGGAGACGGCGCCAATCGAATGTGCAACGTGCTTGTGACTTGCGCCGCCGAAAGCAACACCAAGGGTGGAGCCGCAGTCCCCCTTCATGTTATTCACAATATTTCGCAGCCCCAAGCTTGGCGTTCTAGACGGCCGACATCGCTTGATTCGACATCATGTCAACTGCCGCGGCGAGAGCTCGCTTACGGCGAGGGTAGTGCACCGCCTGCAAGATAAGCGCGGAGCAAAGATGACAAACTGCAGCTCCGGTTTGAACTAGAGACGAAGGTTGTCAATACCGTTCCCAGCCTTCCACCAGCCTTCCGAACATCCTCGCCACAAACGATCCCGACTACACCCACGGAGGACCTACTACAGCTACAGGCGACGATGACCGAACTCTTATTTCTCGCTGCCGTGCCAACCTCAAGGACATATCACCACGCGCTGTGCTATCGCGGCTGCTGTTTGCCGCCATCATCAGCTGCTGTGCCAGCAGCAGCAGGGACGGCGGCCTCGGCCTTTGCAAGCTTCTTTGCTTCCCTGACCAGCTGGCGGCACTTTTTGTACGCTTCGACCTCTTCGGTGCACTCGTCCCCCTCCCGTAGCCCGTCGGTCTTGCCTTCCACGCACCTGTACGATGGTGCCATCACCGCCCAAGGAAATAATGATCAGCTACGAGAACGGACGGAAGGAAGAATGAGTAGCGAAGGCAGATCAGTTGCGCTGGCTACAGGACATTTACGTGAACAGCAACGAAAAAAAGGCTATTTCCGCCGTTGTTGCCACGTCTGTTCACCTGGAAGCAAGGACGTTTGCGCGTGCACGGTGTTGGTGAAACTTGTGAGTGAGGCTACTGGCAACAAGGGCGGGGATAATGCAGATGACATCATCGCCGATAGAGGGCTGGACGCTCCCAAACCTGCTGGTAACGCTGACTGAATGAGGGACAGCAGTGTCTAGCAGGTGTCATCGCAACAGATGCCGCTGGAAGGACAATCAATATACGGTTGTACAATCATGGGAACTCATCGTCGTTTGATCCTCTGGAAAGCATTGGACGAAGTGATTCCAACGTAGACCTCTCATCGCGGACTATGCGCGGTGACTGTGCCTGATTTCACCAACCTCACGTAGGCGCCCATGGCCTCCAAGCAGGGATCCTTCTCAGCTTCCTCTTTTTCTCTGAACCAATCGAACATGGTCTACCGGCGCTCCTGCTGACCCGCTGCGGACAGTAGAGGACAGGACGGGCGACGGGGCAAGCTCCTGCTATCGCTCTATCATGCGCTGCCTCGGGAGATCGCCTGCGTACCCGCGCTGCGGCGCGGCGTAACAACAATGTTGTAGGAAAGGGCTTGAGGACTTTGGACGAGGCGAACTACCATGGTGCATACATGCATACATACAGAACACCAAGTGAGAGCAGTGCTGTTGGCTTCTCTGCTGTGCCGCTCATCCTGGATTCAGCTCAACAAGTGTTATCTCACTTCAGACGCAGGCATGTCTGCGAGGATGACCATGGTCGCGAGGACGGCTGTAGGTATCGAGTCATTCAGGTTTGTTTCTAAAAAGCACGATGATCACTTGACCACCATAATAGTCAGCGCTGACTGTAAGTGGTCTACAGTGGTCATCGTGCTTCTCAACAAAAGCTACTACTGCCCGGGGTTCGACCTCCTCACGCCTCCCCCCTTCCAGGCAAACACGCCAGGCCAACACGCACAAAAGTGGGAATTCGTCCGGGGTGCATTCATTGGTTCCGTTTGGACATTCCTTCGAGAGTATCTACAGCAGGTTACTGCAGGATACACCTGTTGCGGGTATCGTCGTCTGTGAGTGAAACTGAGCGTTGCACACCCCCCTGTCAGGGCAAGTTTGAAGGCCAGCCCTTTTCCAACGAGGAGGACACACTAGCAAAGCACAATCGCATTATCGGAAAGCTCTTGACAGCACGTTCTATGTGTAGACAACGTTGGATGCCGCTAGACAGCCAGTTAGCGTAACGGAAGATAACAGCATCGCAGGGGGTGGTATACTCCGTCAAATACAGGTGTTGGCTTGGTGTGCATGTTTTCCTACATCATTCCTGGCAACGCCTTCCGAGCTTTGATTGCCCTCTTTGTTTGTCTTTACGCATAAAAACTCTACGTACGGAGGTTTTTTCTGCCCAATGTCCCTCTGTCCCGATACATGTCGCCGTGCTCCTCCCGCTGGTGCTGAACCGGGAAACGTTGCAAATACCGTTACGGGAAGGCACATGTCGCTACAGTAGTCACTCTCGCGACTTAGGACAAGAAAAGGGTGCACATGGTAGCAGGTGTGCTCACCTGTCTCACGAATGTGTTCAATGTGCTCCTGGCGCGGTCGGACTTTATAAAGGTGGTCAACGGAGCAGGGAGAGATAGACTGCGGAGCAGCAACGCTGCTTGCGCAGATGCGAGATGCTTGCGAGATGTCACGAGGGGCCTCGCAGACTGCCCAACTGCAGAAAAACATATACTGGTTGGTAATGAAAATCCAATACAGTACACCGACGCCCCCGCTTTCCAGTTCCAGTTTGATGAGCGATGCGCGTGGACACGTCGCAGTGTGATCAAGGGCGGGTTCCGGATAGCTCTAGGTCCATCCTCCATGAGTCGATCCAGTTTTCGGTCGTCTCCATAACGTTCGAAGACGTTGCAAGTGTGTGCGCGCAACAAAGTGCCTTCCGCTTGCGTGCACATATTGCGGAGTTCTGTGCCTACTGCTGTGCATATCTCGCGGACGAGTTGCCAGCGCGGCTGTGACTATTTACAATATAACGGAGCCAACCGCCAGAGAGCATGGCGCACTCCCCAAGCCGGGCACCGACGCGACCAGGAGTTTCTCCAACTCGCTGCTACGGACTCCAATATCTCGAGGTAATTGTGTACATTACAGATACGTCCACAGGCTGGAGAAAATACTGTTCGTCCTCCAGTGTACATCATTGCTGATACCTCTCGCACAACAGCAGCGTTGTAGCACAGCAGTGTCTAGTACATGTTGTGTACATCGTCTAAGCGTAGAATGGGACCCGAAACTCACTCAATGGTGCGGTACGAGGACTATGAAGACTCTGAAACATTCTGGTATTGGACATACGGCGGTGGACCTTTCGATAGGATGCAGTGGGAACTGGAATCTCATTGTTGTGTTGGCTGTGAAGTCTTTTCGCGTAAGGAGACGCGTTGCTACTTGCAGGAGAACAACTGGTGTGACGGTATATTTTGTGTAGTGTGGAGCGGACGGGACGACGATGTGCCTTGGTCGGCGATCGAAGTGCTTTCTTTGTGGAGGCAAGACATTGGCTTGTTTTGGAGTCAGGTAGATGACTGCTCTGTGCTGCCGTGCACACATGCTTCTACAGTAGTAGTGATGCAGTATTTAGTGCGTGTCCGCCACAGCAGTGCACCCTGTATCGGCCTTGTAGATGCCAAATGTCGAGGGATTTGGCTGGCTGTACATACCGGGCACCCGGTGCTTTTCAGAACATGTGAGACAACTTGAATATTCCATCCGTGTCACGCCATTTCACCGGCCTTCCACGGGGGCGACTTGTACAAACTTTCAAATTATGGCAAAGAAACAAGGTGCAGGACGTTATCATGTGTGCACGAAGCCGCATCGGCTGCTCTTAAAGCCTCATCTACAGGTCTCACGTACAGGAGTGTGGATACAAGATGCTTTCCCCGCAGCAAGGCGAGACGTCCCGAAGGCAGGAAGACTCGTAAGCGAGAAGTTCAGATGGAGAAAGGGTGCACAGCAGTAATGGCGTGGGGTGGAGAAAGGGTGTTCGACTACGGAACCAAGACCAACTTGCTTGAGAGCGTCAGATGCCAGATGTGCCAGATGCCAGATGTGCCAGATGCCAGATGTGCCCGACCCCTTGTGCACTGCTACAGCCCATCACCCGGTACCTTGTGTTTCTTACACACAGCAGCGATGTACGGCAGTGGCGGAAGAAGCGAAGCAAGAGACAGTAGCTGTGATTGTTGCTGGTGTTGCCGCTGCTGCCGACACCCCTCGGATCGAAAGTCGCGCCTGTGCTCCCTCGGTGCCTATCTGGTGACATCATCAGGGCGAGATGCTGTCGTTGGTTGGAGTGGCGGCGGGCTTGAGGTCCTCCCTCACGCTGTCCACGTGCTGCGTCAGTTTACGAGACACCCTAGCCTCCCCCGCCCTCGACGGGCAGCTCTTCGGCAGGTTGGGACCTCATCGTCGACGTGTACTGGCATCTGTTTCTTGGATTTGTGCCGTGCGGAGCGTGCTCTGTCCGAAGAGACTTTTTTAAAGCCCACATAGCTCTATCATATTCCACCTGCGACATCGAAGGGTTGCTCGACTTTGTGCCGTACTGGCATCTGTCTGTTGGAAAGTTGTTGCGTGAGGTGTACTGTACTCTCGCCGAAAATACGTTTTGTTTGCCCACTTAGCTCTATCATGTTCCACCTGCGACAGCGGGGGGTTGTTCGACTTTGTTCCATGCTGGCATCTGTTTCTTGGAAAGTGTTGTGTCGTGTTGGGCGTGCTCTCTCGGACAAAGCTTTTTTGAAGCCCGCGTGGCTCTTACCATGTTCCACCTCCTGCGACAGCGGATCGTTGTTCACCATTGTTCCATATTTTTCTGCCCTGTGGGTTCACATGTCTAACCCTCGTCATAACGTTCGCGTTCTTGAATCTCACGGCGGCGGGTGGGGAATCGCAGGCTTTACGCTACGCTGGCCGCAGTGGACGACCCCCTGGACGCGTTCCTCCAATCGCCACCTCGCCGCAACCCCACCGACCGACGAGGTCTTCGTCAGCCGTACGAACCGGTCTTACGAAGCACCACCACGGTCCGCAGCGTTCGCCAACTACACCATCCTGACACAAAGCCTGTCGGGCCGCCGCCCCACCCGCCGGAGGCACTGGCAGAGGAGCCGGAGAGCTCAATCGCCCGAAAACGAGCGCGATCATCACCCGGTCGCGGGGTTTCCGCTCACGAAGGCGTCGCCGGGGGCACCGGTGCTGTTCCAAGCGAAGGCTTGCCTGGTGCTACTCCGCTGCCGGGGGGCTGTTTCTCCCCGAAGCTGCCGTCGGGAGACGTAGCAGGCGGTGTCGTCGGCGGACTGGGGGAGGCGCAGCGGCGATTGGGCGGCCCAGCCGGAAGTGCGTGGCAGCAGCGGAAGAGCTGGAAGATGCGGCTCAGGGGGGACCTGGTGACGTGCAGGAAGCCGTCAGAAAGGTTTTCGTTCGCGGGACAGCGGAGGTGAGTTCCGTACTGGTGTTGGTGGTGAGATCGATTTAGCTCTGGCCTGGTGGAGTGTCTGACATGCGCGGGGACTGGTCGGTAAGAGGAAGGAAGACGAAACGAAACGTTTCTCGCCGCATGTGATCTCCGCCGCCAACCACTTACTGTACACGCCAATGGCACGAGACATGTACTTGTAGCTGTTTGGAAAGCAACGGAAGTTGAACTTGCTGCATCCCTGTCTGGAGTCAAACACGAAACGTCTTTGGTTCTGCTACCCCGCCCCGCTCATGATTGGACTATAGTTGCGGCCTTGACCAAAAGACGACTGCCCCCCCCCCCCTGGTTTCAACGACAGAACAGCACTTCCCGTGCACATTTTGGTGCCCTTCCTGATCACCGGGCCAAGGATTCGCACAGCTCCGTGAACCTCATCAACTCGCGCCTCCATGAGAACCGCCAATCGGTATCGTGTGATGACATCGAAAGACCCACGCACTCATTAGCAGGAAGTCCAAACCCATCGCCACCCATCAGTGTCTGATCAGCGCGTGCGGGTTGCAAACACCTGTTTGTTGTTCACCCTCGCCACACGCACATCGTTCTGCCGTTACCAGGCACAACCTTTCCACCTGCAATGGCGTCCTGTCAATGTTAGACCTTTGGGCGTTCGTCTTGCGTTTTCGTCTTGTTGGGGGAGAAATCAGTGAAGCCGCTCCCGAAATTTTGGCCCTTGCATTTTGTTGCGCTGACCGCAACGCTTGACTCAACCCTCGCTTGGGGCAGAGGGAAGCAAGACGTGCTCATGGAGGTTGTGGCTTCAAACCCTCCCATCGTCGCCATCACCTGCACCACCGAGCTGTCCCTCTTCAGCCTGGGTGGGGAGCGTCTTCCCGTAGTCACTGTCCAGCAGCAGAGGTGGAAGCAGAGGCAGAGGCTGTGTCAGAAACGAGACAGCAGTGGCTTCGATGCCAGCGCTGCTGGTGGTGCTGTCGATGTTGCTGCTGGTGGTGCTACTACTGCTGCTGCCGTCAATGTTGCTGCTGGTGCTGGTGCTGCCGGCACGGCTAGTGCTGCTGGTGCTGCTGCCGCTTCTGGCGGGGGAGGACCCGAGAGCTCTGGTGCAAACTACAAGTGGCAGCGCGAGAGGGGGTTCTCAACCGGGGAGAGCGTCTACGAGCGAGATCGTGAAAGTGCTGACGATGAGGAGGAGGAGGGCTTAGGGGAAGCAGCAGCGGTGGCAGCGGAAGTCCACCAGAGGGATATCCGCTGTCTGGCCGCCTCTCCTGCGGGTGATATGGTGGCCACAGGGTGAGGGTCGAGACGATTTTCGTGTGCATGTACGATTTTGTTCTTGCTGAAGCATCATTTTTCAGCTTTAGCTTTTGGCGGCGTGAACTCTTGTTGTCAGGGTCTTGTGTTTTGTCGCAAACTACTGCGTGTGGCAGATTTTTTGACATTTTTGGACCGCGAGAAGAGTATTTTCTTCGCAAGGTGGGTTTCAGAGCGGGACTTGCGGACTGACCGGGAGGTTGTTAAAGACAAGAAAAGAATAGCGAGATGGAACCTTGGCTTCTTCGCCGTTCCAAGTGTCTTTTTAGAACAAAATAAACACCAGTTATCAGCAATCCGCTACGCGATCTGTAACATCTTTATCAGAGACAGCAGTGTCAATCAAATTCACTCGAAAATGGCGTTCAAGACGAGGAGGGGAGCTAGGAGACACGTTGCTGAGTATTCCATGAACGGCGACAAGTTCCCTTCCGAACGCTCCTGCCACCAGCATGCAAATGGTCGCCAGCATATGTGCTCATTACACTCAAGAGTAGCCTGGGGCTGATATTTTTTACCGTTGCGAAACTCAGGCCACTCGCTGGTTGCAGCTGTCTTCGTTGTTGAACGTGGCTGTGGTACTTTTCAACGTTAGAAACCGCTCCGTCCTCTCCCGGCACCTCCTTTTTCCTACCCTTCCAAGGTGCAAGAATGAAAGTCGGTGGTCAAGCGCTACCCCCAAAATTCGGTACATGCAAAAGAAAGGAACCAAATACAGTATTTTTACCATCAAGTGTCGTCCACGTGTGCCTTTGGTGGAACTTGGGGCACGAGAATCCGAGGAACAGCAGATGTAAGTATATCTTAAGTTTGTTACCGGGAACGGAATATACCGACGTTTATCGTAACCGAAAGAGTCGAAATACATCATTGTTGGAAAATCGGGGCTACGTAGCACAGATATTGTCCATGGGGTGTGACTATATGCCCATTGTATAATTTTTGTTGTCATCCCATAGGGTGTCGCGTGCCCCCCGTCTCTGGACGCGATCGGGAAAAGGCCACACACATGCGCTTTTTATGCGGTCTTTTCTTGATTTTTTCAGGTCCCTCGACTGCACGATCCGGGTGCGTTCGGTGCCCACCTGCGACTGGGTAAGGCGGCTACGGGGGCACGAGAGCGGAGTGCGGTGCTTAGCTTTTCACCAGACTGGAAGGTGCGAACAAAGCCCCCCCCCAAGACCCGCGTCCCCCCCCCCCCCCCTCCTCCTGTGCTTTGTTGCCAGCGTGTAGTGAGCCAGCCGCAAACACGACCACGCGGCAAGCGCGGTGGTAGACGGTACCGACACGAGAGACGTGGTGACCACAATCGTTCCGGAGGAAACGTACACTAGCGAGTTTTCCGCGGGGTTAGGGGATGGTTCGGCTCGCACGCAGCAGAGTTTATGCTTTGGTGCAAGCAGAGGCAGGAACAAGATGCCGCTGAACCGTTACTTTTTGTGGGTCATCTCTGCGCCTGACGTTTCCGAGCACGCTCGTCGGCCAATCTGCTCTTGAGCTGTTCTTAGGCAGGGGTGAGAGGCGAGAGGGTAGTGTTGCCGGCTGATTCGTTTCGCGCTCTACTTGACACGTTGGCCAACATGCGACGGGAGCCTTTCATCCCGCCTGCTTACGTGATGAAACACAGGCGCTGTTGGTTTTCAAGTATCTCCGGCTGAACGGTTTTGTTTATTGTTTGCCCACGTTCCCCTTCCGCACCCATTGATCATACCCCCCCCCCCCCCCCCCCCCCCCCAAA